GAAGAGCGTGCTGAGAAGCGTGCTCTCAAATGTGTTTGAGAGGCAGGGCCGATCTGTGAAAGTGCTGAAGAGTGATTAAAGGCCGCAATTTATCAAGAAACCTGCTTGTCTTCTCGCATGATGCTTAAATCTAGCCCAGCTATGACCTGGATTGTATGAAAAATGTGAGCTGTGATTTGGCTGGGAGTGACCTGTATGTCTGCATTTAATCTAAAATATTCTTTGCTGTGTACCTGCTCTATGAATAAAAGACTGTTTAGGAGCCCCCAAATGGCAATCATGAAGCTCCTGATTTTGTTGATCGGGGGTGTGTGTGTGTGTGTGTGTGTGTGTGTGTGTGTGTTAAAAGTCATGCTGCCAAGCTTGCTGTCATGCAAGTGAATTGTGGTTGGCATAATTTTTGACAAGGTGTAGGAAAGAGATGGGTCTAATGTTACAAAAATAAGTAGTGAGGGACATGTCTGTGTTTCCTTCCAAGCTCTTCCAGTGGAAATCCCTGGCAATTACAACGTTGCTAATTCTTAAATAAGGCTGTGGTCTTTTTAGGACTGTACTGAAGAACTACTTTGCAGCCTGTTGACCTTAATAAGGGAAATATTTCTGTAGAGACACTGCCAAATTTGTGCTCAAAAATGGAAGTGCAGTCTGGCTGCGTGTCTGGTTGTGCAATCTGTGTCGTCATTTATGAAACCGATGGTGCATTCTTTTGTCATCCAAAATTTTCGTTGGAATCCCCTTCAAAGAGGGGACTTGGTTGTTAATGAGTTGAGGATAATCCTTGCTTTTCCTCTTAATCCAGTGTGTGCATGCTCTATAACTTCCATTGATAATAAACACATTCTTTAAGAAAAAGCTAGTGTGCATAGAAATGGTTAAGAAGAACTGAGATTCTGGATTCAGTCTTCTGAGCGTTTATTGCAAACAAACAGTGAATAAAAGTGGTATAAAAATTACTTGATAGGGTCCTTCTAAGGAAGTTTTCATGTTTGAAACAGTTTTGTAGCTGGGTGAAATAGTAACTGAATTGGCATCTGAGCTGGAATGTCTGTGTGCTTTGAGGCTGCAGTCATCTGTTCAGCTGATAAGTGGTGTGTTGATTTTTTTTTTTTCTTTTACATTTGCACTGTATATAAATAAAAGTATCCTTGCCAGGCTAAGAAACGCATATCCTTGCTTGGAGTAACCAACAAGAATGGGTCACCACTCCAAGGTGATGAGACCTGAATTGGGTTGTCACAGGCATTGTGAAATGCTCTGACTTTATATGTGATGTTCCTTTAGCCCCTGGACTGAAGGGCTTTTAGGTTATTCATGTCCCATAAGCTATTAAGTGACTTGGGACTGGGGGGTGGAGGTGGCTTGCTGCCTGTCTGATAGTAGGCACATGAGCTTTGTTTGGACAAATGTGACTGGATTTTCCAAACTTGCCTTCGTGTGTACCTGCTAACTGCTCTGCTCCTGTCTCCTCTTGCCCTGCGCTAGGCTGGGTCTGGGCCACCCCAGGCTCTTCTAGGCTGTGGTCTGCAGAAGGTGTCCTGATGTCCGATGTGTGATCCTTTTGGTGTTTGGGGTGGGGGGGATTGTGTTTGACCAGTGGTTTTCCCTTATTCCTGCCTGTGAAGTTGCCTGTATGAACGCAGACTTAAGAAAGCCAGGGGCTGTGTCCAGTGCAGAAAATGTGCAAAATGCCGTCACAAGCAAGACAAGATGGTCTGGGTTTTCACGGAATAAAAATATATGACAACAGACAGAAAGCCATGGGCAAAGATACTGTGTGTGAGCCTAGCAGCCCTTCTCCAAAAGGTTGCTGCAAAACTATTTGGGAACTTTGGGAGATGCTGGAGGACTGACAAGAGGTCTCCTGTGGAGAGGAAGATCTCCCACCTGCCTTGCTGCCCTCTTCCTAAGGTATTGGAACAGAGGGGAGATCATGAGCCTCTACTCTTCCTGTCTCCCACATCAAAGATGAGCAGAAACAGGTCACCTTCAGGGGTACAGATGGAGGTATCATAGTGCATGGCCAGAGCAGGGCTAACTCTAGGCCACCTTGTTATGCCTGCGATTCAAAGTGAAGCACTCTCACCATCCCTGCATTGGAGTCAAAAGCAAGCATGAACTCCCCTGGTGGCTGGGATGGAGTCAGGAGATGGAGAGGTGGAAGATCCCATGATGTCTCATGCTGCCAAGTCACCCATGCAAGGTGAGGTGGGAGCAGGTGGGACTGGTTTTGTCAGAAGGACTCAGAGGTTGCTTCAAAATCTGAACTGCTGCTCAATGAAAGGCTGATGTCAGGTATCTAATTGTGCTCTGTAATTAATTGTAAACCCCAGTGGCTGGGGTTCTTTGCACAAACAATTGTAATAGAGCAACACCTCCTTGTTATAGAGCCTGATGCTAGCATTTGGCAGCCTTTTATTTTCCCCATTTGAGGGTGGAGTCTTTTCTGCCTGCCTTTCAAAGTAGATGCAGCTGTTTTGGGGCTGTTCTCATGCTCCCCTGAAGGTTGTGGCTTCAGCGGAATACTGTGGCGTAATCAGAGACGGGGGCAAGACTTCAGGTCAGCGTGAGCACTGGACGTGGATGATCTAGGTGGCAGGATAAAGCTGAACAGGGCCCTATGATTCAGGAGGAGAAGATAATAGATCAGTTGCTGGACTTGGGGAAGCTAGTGTGATTCTGTAGCTCTAGCACTGATTATTTAGTTTACCGACTAGAGCTGACTTCTGTGCTGCTGAAGTGACAACCTTGAGTGGTGTGACTTGCTGTATGTAATGGTGTAGAAACACAGTCTGTTTACCACCAGGGATTTTTAGAGATCTCCTTCACGTTAAGCTGCATGTTGCACAGTGGGCATTTGAGGTCCTCTTGCTTGGTGGCTGTGGTGGAGCATCCTTTAATTTAAATAACACATTCAGGAAAGAGACAACAAATGGTTTGTAGTCTTGGAGGAGACAGAGAAACTGCTAGAGGAAGAGTGTGATGTGCAAGATGGGTGGCTGCCGTGGGACCATGCCTGGTGGGCTGTAGGTGTAAGAACTAGTCCTTAGAGAGAACTAGAGTAGCCAGCGCAGAGCTGTGCTCGTGCCTGACGGTCTGGCTTGGTAGGACACAGAACGGGAGGGACCAGCTCAACTTGTGGATACCAGAAAAGAGGCTGAGGTTTTCAATTGCCTTCTTAAAACTGTCCTGTTGCCTGCAGTGGCTGGGTATCTTGTATTGTGTGCATTGCTCTGTGTGTGTTTGGGGGCTTTTTTTTTTTTTGAGGCTTCTAATATGGAACTTGCTAAAATTACTTTAAATTAGGATGGCAATGTGTATATTTAACACTGTTTGAAGGAATCCTCTTCCTTATGCAAAAAGTTGCTAATCATTTCTGCTAAAGGAAAGGTTTCTAGGTATGTCAGCGCTGGTACAAGAAAGCTCTTCTGGTTTGTTCCTTGTCTTGCCCTGTGTTATTCCGCACAGGAGTTGTCTCTGGGCTTTGGGCCTCTGGACTTTGAGCTGCCATCACTGAACCAGGGAAACGCTAGATTTGGTTGAGTGGATCTTTTTGGTTTGGCTAGTGAAGCAAAGCAGAGTTCTTGGCCTTTAGTGCGTAACTTTTTTTTTTTTTTTTTTGGTTTGTGTTTTTCGTTTGTGTTTATCATCTTTATAGTCACTGAAATTTGTCTTTGGAGGAAATGACCTATAAAAGAGATGCTCAGTGCCAAATGATTCTTTGTTTCATTGCATGAGAACTATTTAAAAGCTACTGACTGGGGGAGGGGGTGTGCAATAAAATGTTGATGTAGGTTTTCACCTCTCCAGAGTCAAGTGATAACAGGAGGACTGATTTGAGCTGTGCTTCAGCATGCTTGGAGACAAATGTCATGAAACATGCTTTGCTTCCTGCTGCGTGCACACAGTGGTGTGGTGCCTCTTTCTAAAAACACTTATGTGTGAAAAGTTTTCCCATGTAAGTTTTGTTCAGAGGTATCATGTGCATGATCCACATACTTTGCAAGATCCTACTCTTTTTGTGTCTCAGGAGAGTATGGTGGGAAACCACCAGCAGTGCTGAATCTTAGTTGCCTTTTGGTGATGTTGTGAACATGTTACTTGACATTGGGATAGAGCTCTGAAAAAACAAGTATCAGTTTAAAAACGAATTATGAGTGCATCTGGTATGCTGTGGCACCTTGGTGCATTTGCAATATTAAGCAGGTAACTGTGGTAGCCTAGGATGCTCTCCAATTAGTGGTGTGCTAATAATAGCACCGGCTGGTTGTTTGACTCTTGAAAACAATTTGCTGGGGGAGAAGGGAGAAAAAGTATTTAATGAAACGTTCTATGTCAGGTTTGAATTCTTGAAAGTCTTCAGAGTACAGATTTTTTTTTTTACCTTTTTTTTTTTTTTCCCCTGTCTGTTATAGAGGAAGATAACCTCTGCAGATGAGTAAAGAAAACTGTGGTCTGGGGGGATAAATACAAGATGATCAGTTAATTTCCTTTTTTTCTCCCTCTCCTTGCTTGTGGTACTTGCACTTGCGGTACAGATGTGGGCAATGGTGAGAGTAAGCAGGCTGCCTGGTGCCAAACAAGGTCACCTCTTCTCAGGAGAGCTTGTGGGACGCCAATTTAAGGATGT